CCTTGTGAGAGGTTGCATGGTATGATGTTGTTGAGTCAATGACCCATTCAACACATGAATCAACAACATGACACTCTTCTTCTTCAATAGAGAGCAACACCACTTCCCCACTGATCACAGAGGTTGCGGTATTTTCATCGTTCTCTGCCTTGTTGTTTCTCCAACCTTTATTCTTCCAGGCTTTGCAGTTTATTTTGATATACCTTTCTTCACCGCAGTGATAACACTTGAATTTTCTGTTGGGTTGTGATTGTGACTTATCTCTGGATTTGTTATTCCGGCCTCTGCTTTTACTTCTCCCCCTGGTTTCTGTGACCAGAGCTTGGGAACTGCTTGCCCCAGAGTCTTTTCTTCTTGTTTCTTCATTAAACATACTGTCTTTGACTTGAGTCAAAGTCAGTTTTCCCTCAGGAGCAGAGTTGCTCAACGAGACCACCAGAGTCTCCCAGCTATCCGGTAAAGAACTCAAAAGGAACAGCGCCTGCAGCTCTTCATCAAGTTTAATTTCCATGGTAACAAGTTGGTTTACCATGTCTTGAAACTCATTCAAGTGTTCTGCAACTGATCTTCCATCCCGATATTTTAGATTTACAAGCTTTCTTCTGTGCAGTCTTCCTCTAGTACATCTGTTCAATTTTGTTCCACAGAGTATGGGCTTTCGACTCTGTGGCAACATGGTGGAATATGCTGATATCCAACCACTGTCGGATTAAACTGACAGCCTTTCTGTGTAACTTTTTCCAATCGTCATCCTTCACATCATCTTGCTTATTGTCTCCCTTTTCTACAGGATCGTACAGATCTTTGTAGAAAAGTATGTCCTCCATTTTTGGCTTCCAAATGGAGTAATTTGTTGTTGTGAGCTTCACCATGGTACCCACGTTCTCCTCCATTTAATTTACATTGGCCGATACAGAGCCCAACTTGAGCTCTGATACCACTTGTTAGGCTCAGATGCGCAAATGCAGAAGGTGTAAATTAAAACACCTAGGTAAAATGGTGAACAATAATCCCAATCCCAACAACTCAAGAATGACAAAAAAAAAATCTCTTGCAATAAACATGAATAATTCTTTTCTGATGTGGAAGATCAAATTAAACTGCAACCACAGAGCATACTAAGAATATCCCAAATAAATAAAATATGCAAGAAATAAGACACCAAGATTTAACGTGGAAAAACCTCCAATTAGAGGAAAAAACCACGGGACAACCTCCGAACAATTCCACTATATTTTCAAGATAATTACAATATCTTTCTACACTCCCTTACACTAGAAATGTAAAATATAGTGACCCAGTGAGATCTCACTCCTAAACAAGAAGTAATAGAGTTGATACCCAACCCTGTATATTTTTCCCACACTTACAGGATTTACTCAAACACTCTATTTTTATCTCACTGAAAAATAACACTCCAGAAATTATTTCTGCTCTCTTTTGCTTTCTTCTTTTCGGTGCGTCTTTCCCTCTGCTGAATGCCTCGATTTATACTGAAATGAAGCTGCAAACTGACAACCCATAACAACTCATTTTAACTAAAGAAATGTTGTTTATGTTATGAAATGCGAGCAATATAAAGAACACAATGTATAAAAACCGGAACAAATTTAAGCTGTTTTCTTTTCACTCTTCCGCTCACTCAATCATGTATACAAAAATGTACTACAATTGTTGCCTTTTTATAGGCAAATATGGCACACTTACCAATGTACATACTAATATAATAATGTTAGGATAATATTTATTGGTAAATTCCAATAATCATAACACTCCCCCTTGGAATTACCAATATTAAATGTGCGTTTATGCTGCCTCGTTAAAAACCTTATCTGGAAAAACCCTGTGGGAAAAAACCAAGATAAGGAAAAAAGAGTACAGCCGCACATACTCCCCCTCGAGTTATCATTTGTACAAATCCCGAAGATGTCTCATTCCAATGTTGTGTACGTGCTTTCGAAACATTGTCGTCGGGAGCGCCTTCGTAAATAAATCAGCTGCATTATCACTTGATCGAATGTATTGAACTTTGATTTGTTTGTTTCTTTCAAGCTCTTGCGCATATGAGAAGAACTTTGACGGGATATGTTTAGTTCTGTCACTCTTAATGTATCCTTCTTTGGTTTGAGCGACAC